CACACACACACACACACACACACACACACACACACACACACATACACACACACTCACAAATGGCAAGCCCGCGGGCGAGCGGGGTTGAAGGGGCGACAGCAGGAGGGCGCAAAGACGGATCTCTCTCGACAGTGGCCGCGCAATGGACCGGACCCGATGGCCGCAAGACGGTCGCCAGGCCTCCCCAGGCCCCGCCTGTTCGTGCGGCCGACGGTCGCGCTTTTTTTTTTTTTTGGTTTTCCTGCCCTGGTCCCGCCACCCAACGTCCCAAATCTGGAAACCGGGTCTCACGCCGGCGTCATGCGAGACCCGGCTTTTCCTTTGGTAGTAAGTATGTAGATGTAGATGTAGATGTAGAAGAAGGTATTCTCTAGCTAGTATGTGCATTAGACTAGTAGTATCTACAGGATGGACACATCCTCAATCACCACTAAGGGCATTCTCTCTCTATGTAGTAATATACAGTACTATACACTGGTATTTACACAAACTTCATTAAGCCTAAATAAGCTATTGAATGAAGCATTCAGGCATGTGTGCAGTCGACTGCGCGACTCGACCCTCCACTTCCCCCTTCTTTCCCATCTTGACCAGTACTCTGCTGTGTGCTGCAATGCCCTAGTCCACAGAGAAGTACATATTTTCTCTCCTTTTTTCCAAGCTCTGCAAAGCTGCGTCATGTGGTCCACACAGATCTGCAGTGACAAACGGCCACCAGCCCGAACATTGAGGAGGAGGCTCATGATAGGAATAACTGCATATACCAACAGGCCTAGCTCAGTTGGTACACAAATGAACTATTGAAATACAGACCTGAGTTCGAATCCAGAAGGAACTGGATGAATGGAATTCGCTGGGGCTGGTCAAAACAAAAAGAGAAAAAAAAAGGAATAACTGACTGCATAGCTGGTGAGGGTTGGTGAACTATCTATCCGTACCTTGCAGATGATCGCTGAGGGACCCATTGCTCATGTACTCATAGATCAGAATCTCCTCGTCTCCTTCTTCACAATAGCCCAGCAATCGCAACAGGTTCACATGATGGACCCTCGAGAGCACTGCCACCTTATAAACATTCACGACCCAGTGTGCAGCACCACACGAGCGAGTGATTTAATACAAACACGCCCTCATACTAACCGGGATTGCCATCAATCTGAACATTAATCTGCCCATAGAAGACACTGGGAGAGTGAGAGGGGGAGTGGTTTCTTCTCCTCAGTCTTCATTCCTTTCACTCTGCCAGGCAGGTATGGCCGCAAGGCTGCAACTGAAAGGATTCTTATTTATTTACTTTTTTTCGAGGGGGGGACAATGCTCCTATCTATTCGTGGGGGAGCAACACATGCTGGGAACCAGGCCCAGCGTCCCTCATGAAAATACAGAACAAATTGAGTTGCAACTGAAAGGAATTGCATGGGGGCCTCCACAAAACAAACGATGGAGCATGTGGATTCAATTGAGCAAGCTGATAAAGCATACAATAGATACTTTCCAATTCAATGCCTTTCCCACTGCAAATAATCGACTGAAAATCTAATCTTGCTTCCCCATCTTTCCCAACTTCTCCTCTCTGCTTGCTCCTGGATCGCCATTTGTCATCATTAAGCTTCATGGCTTCTATTTCCTCCTCCTCTTTCTCCTCTTTGCAATCTTCTCTCTTTCCTCCTCCTTGTTCCTCTTCCTTCTCTTCCTCGCTCCCTGACCTCCTCTTCTTGCTCCTCCTTTTCCTCCTCTTCTTCCTTCTCTTCCTCCCCCTCTTCCTCCTCTTCCCCGTTGACATCCTGTTGCACTCCTCCAGATTGTTTACAGTGCAACACGCAGTGCAGCTCATCTAGAGAGGTCACCTTTTCATCAGAACCGACAGAAGGGAGCATTCTATTCACACTCTGAATGGCATACTTCCCACACAGACATACTTGCCCATCTTATACGCCCAAGATTTCTTACTTTCTTCATGTGTGCCTGAACTTGTGTTCTGAATCTTCTGATACATACCTCAACAGAGTTGAACACATGCTTTGTTGTACTACTACAATTTGACAACTGCCGGTGTGGCATACTGCGCAGCCACACGGGCCTGCAGGGCCCGACCAGCGTTCTCAGCCTAAAAGCCTGAAAACGAGGGCCTACAGGCCCTATGTCGTTTTAGCCTAAAGCCTGAAAACGAGGGCCTGCAGGCCCTGTGTCGTTTCAGCCTAAAAGCCTGAAAACAAGGGCCTACAGGCCCTGTGTCGTTTCAGCCTAAAAAGGCCCTCCAGGCCCCGAGTCTTTTCAGCTTGAAACGGAGGGCCATTTTCAGGCCCTCATAAGATCGACCTGCCCTGAAACTTAGGCACCAGATCAGGGTTTTAGCACAGGCCATTTTGGGCCTGTTTTCAAGACAACCTTTGTTTGAACTTCAACACCAGGGTCTGGCACGTTTTGGCATTCGCAAGAGCAGCCTCCTGGACGGGCCAGCACTATATAAGACTGGCCCGCTGTGCAGGCTGCAGGTAGTTCACGAGGCAGTTCATAGGAACTTCCTAGGCACTTCACGTGCAGGAGGCAGGAGGTAGTCTTCAGGATTCGGCAGCAGCACTCTGGAGGAGCGCTGCAGGAGTAGTAGCGTTAGCAGTAGTCTTGTTGCATACTCGTGAAACACAGTCATAAGTATGGCGCAGATTCCCAGAACCGACCAGATAATACAGAGTTGATACCAATTGCAAGCGGAAGACTTGAGATACATGGACTGACCCTGACCTGACTCGGACTGCAATCGAACACTCTCAATCATACATCAGGGGTGTGAAAGCCCTGGCCTTAGACATAGACAAAGACCAGGGTCTGAGATCATCCACGGACGAATGAAGGGAGGAGAGAGATGAAGGAGAGGGAAGATGACGTCAACTCAATTTTTCCAAAGATAGTATCTTGAAATGTCAGAGGTGGCAAAAATCCGAAATGTCGCGAATACAATGTCTCACAATGTCTCAGATATCGATCTCACAATGTCAAGTACATCTCCRGAGGAAGATRAAATCAGATCCCCCAAGTAGTCYTCAACCTATARTCCCAATGTCGCTGTCCCCAATGTCATCAGAACTCGTAACCATCCTTCATACTCATAGTAGCCCTGTAGGAGAACCCAGGAGTAGACTTAGACTGAGAAGGTAGGGGGGGGGAGAGAGAGAGAGAGAGA